AGGATAGCAAATTTCAACCCACGAAGACAATTCATGGATCCTAAATGTCACATGCCACAGATACCATGAAACCGTATGCCCATTAGTAGCCATTCACTAGCAACTCAGCAATTATACAGGGAGATTTAAACTTAGATAATATCTTCAGGAGACTAATTTTGCCCGGCTGTGGAAATGTTACGTGTCTTTTTTATTGTTTGTACCAAAAACTAGCAATAAACTAAAATTCACCCACTACCTAAACATTTTCCACCACAGTGCTACATTAAAAAAATATATAATAAATGAAACCGAGCCAAATTACTCCACATTTATCTTGTGCCTATACATAGAAGCTAGATGTTTTTCCACAGGTTATCTTTAGCTTTTAAAATATTGACAAAACAAACCAGTCTTCACAGAGAAGATACCTGTTACAACAATGTTCACAAATAAATCGAGGATAGTTAATATAGTGAACAAAGTTATTTTTATAAGCAAACCATAATTTGCTACATGATTACAAAACAGGAGGATGGGAATAAGAGGTTCCTATTGTAATGTTGATGTTTAGCTTAAAAATCATGTGTATTTATAAAAATTTTCAAAATATAACTCAACCAGAACTTCATGGCACAATAATATTTTTCTAACAAAACGATCATATTTTACACTCCTTTGGTAAGGTTTTGTTTACATTATTAGCTTCTATCCAGGTCACAACCTTAAGAGTTGTACCTAAATCTGAGGGACCTCCTATGCCACAGAAAACCTCAGTCTTTCTATACACAAATGCAGCCCACTAAACATGTAGACTCAACATAAATACTCAGTAAGGTAGAAAGGGCAATAGTCAGAGACTTAATAGACCTATGACTAAACTGGGCTCTATTACCTTGGGCTAATCATTCTCTTTGTGAGCTTTTCTTCCCTTCCTCCTCAGTGAAAGAATCCAGATTTTAATCAGGGTGATCATGAACCCAGCCTCTTGACCTAGGAGCAGCAGGTGCCTGATATCTGACTAAAGAGATACAAGCAAGGTGGAAAGGCAGTGGACACGAATTCTATAAAAGTTTCCTTGAAGGCCCTGGTACCAGAGTGGTGAAGCGGTGGGCTTTCGACTCGCATAAAGTTAGTCTCGGAAACTCACAGAGGCAGTTCCACCCTGTCCTATAGGGTCAATCTGAGTTGGAATCAACTCGATGGCAGTGAGTTTGAATCCTGTTTTTTTCTTAAAGGTAGTGTGCTCTCCTTAGTCACTCACTGGTCTTGCTGCCTGAAGTGTGACTTAATGACTGGAGTTAGAGAAGTCATCTTGGGCAGGAAATTGCTAACTGAGAATGGCAGAGCAGCGAGATAGCAAAGTTCTGGTCCCTGAAAGAGCCGTACCACCCCTGGATTGTCCACCTCCAGACACTTTACATGGAGAGGAAGAAACAAGCTTCTGTGATTTTAAGCAAGTAATTATTGCTTGTACATATAAGGAAGACCTACTCCTAAATACAGGTAATAGCTACTGTAGTTTTAGGGGCCCTCTTAACTGTGTATCAAAGAACAAATGCATTACAAGACTAAAATAGCCAAGACAGCAAGAAAAGTGAAATAAATAAATAGAATATTAAGAAAGAAATGACAGATGTGATATTGAGTTACTATAACCAAATATATGTACATACCACGGGCTGATCTTCATTAATGGAATTGGGGCACATGTGAAAAACACTGTTAGCAGCAAGAACGATTTTCGGCCCCAAACATCAGAAAGAGCACCAATAAGTGGGGCACTGAGGAATGACAACAAACCCTAAAAAAATGTCAAATTAAAAAAATTTTAAGCTGAATGCCCATGAGCAAAACAAGTTTGTTTCTAAATACCCATCAAGCTTTAGAAAAATATAGAAAGTTTCCCCAGATAGCTTAGAATCCTCTGCCAGGTCTCTGGCAAGTTATTCAATAATAAACGCTCTAATTAATTCTCAATAATAACTCCAGATTAGCCATCTAGAAATATGATATGTTATTTGGGTTTAGGCACACACTAGTTACCTGTTTATAAAACTTCACGGTTATATTGAATAAAGAATTTTAAAAAGCATAAGGGGGACTACTCAAAGAGTTTGTGAAAACTGTGGAATTAAAACATAATGAAATTCTTTCGCAAAGTTTTTGACGCCCACTCATAATAACGAAGATTTTAATGTACTGAAACAGTTTTGTAAGTGTTGTGGAGGTTTTTCCCCCCTTAATTGTTCTGTTCTTTTTTATCTATATTCTTGAAGTTACTGTATATACTCGTGTATACGCTGGGTTTTTTTTGCACATTTTAATGCAGCTTTTGCAGTAAAATTATGTGCCTTAGCTGATATTTGGGTCGGCTTACACTCAAGTATATACGGTAGTTCACAAAAGCATTTAGATCTCTGGACCACAACTGTAAACACATAAAGCAGAATAAATCTGTTATGATGTGGTTTATTATGTTGTGGTTTATAATGTTTCTAAGTGTTATGGAGGTTTTTCCCCCCTTAATTGTTCTGTTCTTTTTTATCTATATTCTTGAAGTTACTGTATATACTCGTGTATACGCTGGGGTTTTTTTGCACATTTTAATGCAGCTTTTGCAGTAAAATTATGTGCCTTAGCTGATATTTGGGTCGGCTTACACTCAAGTATATACGGTAGTTCACAAAAGCATTTAGATCTCTGGACCACAACTGTGAACACATAAAGCAGAATAAATCTGTTATGATGTGGTTTATTATGAAGCAGATGTAGCTACACAAGTTACAAAAGACCCAGTTAGTGTGAAAAGTATTGCATAATCCCTTTCAGGTATACTGTTATCTAACTTAAAAAATTAACACTACTTAACCAAATATACTGGCAGATTTATATTTACATAAGTTGTGTGTGTGAAAGCTTACATGTGTACGTATATACTAATTAATTCTACCTTTACTCCTTGAATTAATCCATTCATCAGAAATGTATGTTTAGGGAAGGTTTCATGCAATACCTGAAAAATACAAGATACAAGATAATGTAAGAAAAATACAAAATACAAGATAAAAATCACACGTAAAATTTTCATTATGCAGTGAAATATCTACATTTATATTTTGGGGGGGGTTGTTTCTAATTAAGCATTTACTTTGAGATAATAGTAGGTTCACATACAGTTGTAAGAAATAAGACAGCAAAAAAAAAAAGAAAGAAGACAGCAAGATCCTAAGTACGGTTTATCCAAATTATCTTGATAACATTTCACAATAGTATAATATATTGCAATAAGGATATTAATGTCAATATGTTATTGATCTTACTCAGATTTGCTATTTTACTTGTACTAATTTGTATGTGTGCCCCAACTTGTTTTAGTTCTGTGCAATTGAATGAATACATGTTGGTTTGTGTATCCACTACTGCAGTCAAGATAGGGAACAGATTCATCATTAAAAGATTCCTGTGTTGCCCTTTTATAACCACATAAATGTTCATAACAGCTTTACTCATAATAGCCCTAAACTGGAAATAGTCTTCAACAAGGGAATATATCTATACCAATGTTTCCTAAAGTGGACAATAACTGCCCCCTAGGGAGTGCTGGAATGACCCAGGGGGGCTGCAGATACCTATACTTTATATTGGTTTTTTAAATAGTTCTACTGGCATATAGTTCACATATCATACAGCTTAATCATTTAGTATATTAAGAGTTGTGCAATCATCACCGTGATCAATTTCTGAACATTTCCTTCTCATACCCACTGTTGTTAGCCCCCTATTTCACCTATTCCCCCCATTGCCATGCCTTTAGGTATTTATTAACTCAGTTACAGCCCTTCAAAGTACAATTTAATTTTACTTATCCAAATTTTCAGATGAGACATATGCAGATGAGTAAATACTAATGATCTCACTGCCATCAAGTCAATGTTCAGTGACCCCCCCCCCCAGGGGGGTTTATGAGACTGTAATTGTTTAAGGAAGTAGAAAGCCTAGCTTTTCTCCCATGGAAGTGTTGGTGCTTTCGAACTGCCAACCATGCACAAAACACTGGTATATTGCATTTTAATATGTTATAAGATACTGAACTGAGTACTTTACATATACAGTGAACCCTCGCCACTTCGCGCTTCGACTTCCG